CCCGGCGGGGCCTGACCTGATTATCCGCTGAGCCCCCTCTGTGTAATTAACTCCTTCATTTGCATTGCCGATGCTCCAGCTGCCTCCTTCCAGGCCCTGGAGGTGCTGCGGGCCCACCCACACCCCCTTGGAGAGCCCCGGCTGGAGTCCTACCACCTGCCACCTTGGCCTGTCCGTCCGGCTGGACAAGGCCCTAAGACGGTCTTGGGCAGGAAAGCTGGAATGAACGAGATTCCAATTTCCTTGTCAGACCCCGCTCAGTTCCGAGAACCCTCTGGTTTCAGGTAGGGGACCTCTGGGGGAAAGAAAGCTTTCAGGGGCCCTGCACCCAGACAGGGTGGGGCTCGGCTCCACAGCCCGCATCCATCCATCCATCGCTGTGCCCAGCAGTGCCCTGGCCCAGGAGCAGGATGGCTGTGCGGAGAGGCTCACTCCTGGCTGCCCTTTGCCCTGCTTCCTCTGGCTCGGAGGGTGGTTTCTCCTGTGTATTAATGTTGTGGGGGAGGGAGGGACCACCTGCCTGTCTCTTCCCCAAACAGGGAAGTGAGAAGACCATTGCTGTCCTAGACTCGGGCCCCCAGGAAGGCCTGTGTCCAATCGGGTGTTGAGGAGGTTCAGCACATCTGCACTCCAAATGGGCCCCAGGCAGAGGCTGGGTGGCTGCAGTCACAGCAAGCGACCCAGGACTGCAGAGATTTCTGTCACTGTTGGGCACTTCAAACTTCAGTTATTAACTGAGGTCACTACTGTCATGTGTCATTTTTGTTCATTGATCCTTTAGATATATCAATGCAATTTATGGATACCGCGCTTGCATATGGGCTCTATTGCTTATGCACAGTTTACTCTAGGCTCCTGCCGAACACAGCTAAGGTGGTGAGTGGGAATTCGCCCGCCCCAAACAGGCCCGCACCCTGTCTGGCTGCAGCACAAGCCCCAGTGCCCTCAGCCTCTGTGGGGAAGCGTGGCGGTGCCTGTGGAGATGCTGGCCTGTGAGCGGGAGCCTGGTGTGGAAGCTGGCGCAGCTGCCGGCAGGTCTCT